TGAACACAAAACTGGGTTTTTTATGAGACAAAATTATTGCTCTGAAAATTACGACGCACATTTGAAAAACAAAAAACAACCTAAAATTGTGTTTTCGTAGAAACAGTAATATATGTAGCCAAAATGTTATTACCTTAATTTTTTGTTTCAGTTCGTTTTTTTTTGTTTTTTTTCTATTTCGTTGGGCGCAGGGGGTATCTTTGTTTATGCCCGGTCACTCTACTGCTGCTGCTACCAGGTAACCCAGTACTAACATCAGCGTCTGGAGCTCCTTCTGTTTGCCTCGTGGTTCTTGGTAAGCTCCAGAGGCGGATATGCAATATAATTAGCCCTGTTCTGGCATCTCGTCTACAGTCGCTCTCTCACAGACTTGCCGTCGCCTCACTCTGTCTTTTTTACAAATACTTTCATGGCAATTGCTCCGAGGAGCTGCATTCGCTGATTCCCAGACTTCATGAGTACAAGCGCCCTACGAGGCTGGCATCCCGCCCTCACCCTTTCACTGTCGAAACTACTAAATGTAGCGGTCTCTTCTACTCCAATAGCTTCATGTCTCGCACCTCTCGCCTGTAGAACCTCTTTCCCTATTCCAGTTTCCCTGAGAGCTATAATCTCCAGCTATTCAAATGTAATGTCAATCGACAACTCCAGTTGCCTTGATCTATCCACTATCCTTCTCATCCTTTCCTTTATCACTCCTTCTTGCTCCAAATCTTCTGTAACCCTTTGCGTCCTTGTGGCTTCCCGCCTTGCTTGGGGTGAAACGCTTAAAAAAAAAAACAAAAAAAAAACCGTTTTTCTAGTGAGAAGGGTGACTAAACACCGAACAGTATTAAAAATAAGACTTGTCAAAGGGTGGATGAACCATTTTGTAGTCAACAGCCATCTGACACAATGGCGTAGATTGGAGTCCATAGCTATGTACACAGTCAGTGCGGTGATGACACGGCATTGCTGGGTATAGCGCTTCCTAGACTGAAGTCAACGCCCAGAGCTGGGGATTTAATCCGATGGAATAAACGGCCATATGTCTGTGATCAAGGCAAACTTTTAAGTTGGAGGACATCAGGTATGGTTTTAAACTGGAGACATGCTATACAGGAATGGATACCTCTCCAACTTTTAACCCAGACTAGCAGTAGAGCCCGGCGTTGCCCGGAGATGTAACAGTAAGAGATAGATCAAGTATCGACCATCATAAAGACTGAAAAATAAAATTGACAAAGATTATTGTTTAAGGTTGACGGACACGCATGTCTTAATTAGTTTTTTTTTTTTTTACGAATTGGTCAAACCCAAACTTAAACAAAAACATTGTTTTCAATCGTTATGAGTCTACCGATTGAATAGAATCTTATTATAAACAATTGTCTTGTAAATAGAATTTTTAAAGCATTCTGAATGTAAAAATAAAGAAAAAGTGTGCAAGACAATTAGAAACACTACCTGCCAAAAACAAAAATTGAAGTTTTGTTGAAATCGGTTGAAAAATGTAGGAAATCCGATCCCATATATAAACGAACACAGACACACACTCACAAACAATCTGGGTTTTATAATAAGTATAACTCGATATGAGTTGTCCCCCTTTCATTCTCGCGATTCCTCTTAATTGTGTTTTCAAATTGATTTTGTGCAAAAACAATTGTGTTTTTCCCATTTTTGGCGCTGTCAGAACAACCGCAATGTAATTTTACGTAGTCCTGTGAAGTTTTGTTGAAATTGGTTGAAAAATGTAGGAAATCCGATCCAATATATAAACGTACAGACACACACACACACACACACACACACACACACACACACACACACACACACACACACACACACACACACCCAAACACAACCCTAGTTTTATAATAAGTATGATATATAGAAGGAACTGGGCAGGTGCTCAGCTGCACAGCAATCCTATGACCACACCCGACATGGGATTGATGATGATGATCATTATCATCTAACAAACTAATGGAATTTTAAAAAAGAAATCTATTTTTGTCTTGTTGGCCGTAGCAGTCTAGTAACTGTCTAGTAAGATCGCGTCCTAAATAAAAGTATCTACGTAAAATAGGTATTTCAGATTTTTATTCTATGCTGATGGAACTGCGTCTTTTGACGTTCAGCAACGCCTGACGAACGCTTACAGAAATCAAAAGGTGAATATGAGCACAGTTAGGGGGGGTAGTGATGTATTTCAGCAGTGGTAACAAGCCACGGTACGGACGGTCCAACACAGCTGCCAATCCATGAAGTAAAGAGCGGCTCAAAAATACATCGTCATTGCGAGAAAATAGAGTTTGTTTCTTTATTTTTTGTTACTCTATCCAACAATTTTATTTTACTCTCGATTCTCGATATTTGTAGTGTTGTAGTAAAAGCCAATTACCCTCCTTATTATCATGAATGGACTGATCCATTCATTATAAGTAGTCCTGGGTAATTGTCTAGAGGAGAATAATATATTGGAGTGACTTGTCTAGCTAAGTATTGAATACTACTATTATGACTGACTTTTAAGCAAAGCTAAAAACGATGAATAAGATTAAGGAGTTGATGACTATTCCAAAAAAGAACTTTGCAAACTATTTTAAAAAGGGGAAGATTGATTTGTTTTTAACAGCTGTGAAAGGTCTGTGTTGTGGTAAAAGCCAATTACCCTCCTTATTATCAGGAATGGACTGATCCATTCATGATAAGTAGTTCTGGGTAATTGCCAAAGGAGGACAATGATACTATTGCGAGTGCTAGCCGGTTTATCAAGGAGCCTGGTCTCCGCGACGAGGAGTTTCGTAGCTATTTGGCTGACTTTCCTCGGCTTTCACCGACTGAAGCGGCTAGCTGTGAGGGAGAGATCACGGAAGGCGAGGTCTACGCGGCATTGAAGAAGGTCGGCAGAGGCAAGTCGCCCGGTCTGGATGGTTTGCCCTATGAATTGTACTTGAGGCTGTCGCACATCTTTGTCCCGATTTTGACTGTGGTGTTCAACAACTGGTTCCGGCAGGGGTCCCTCCTCGACCGGTTTTCCAGGGGTGTGATCATGCTGTTGAAAAAGGGCAAGGGTGTTGGGCGGGATTTAGATGACTATAGGCCCATAACTCTGCTAAACACAGAGTTAAAGATTTGGGCCAAAATCCTGACGGAGCATTTGGGCTGATATCTATTCATGATAAGTAGTCCTGGGTAATTGCCTAGAGGAAGATAATACTATTTCAGTGACTTGTCTAGCTGGGTATTTGCCAATAAACTGCATGAAGACATTTACCATTTGAAGTAAAGAAAGACAAAAACATTATGGCCTTTGTAGAATAAAAGGAAAACGGTAAAGAAAGAAAGAATAAAAAATAAAGATGTTGTAGCATACCTACGGACGATAATGGATATGTCCACATTCCCATAAATAAAGTAGTAAATACTGTATGTTAGTCTGCAGTCGGAGATTCGTCTCCAGCTGTGCTGGTCAAACTCTCTGCCTCCGGGCAGAGGGGATTCCCAGATGAGTCTGTACAGAAGGACAGAGTCTCGTCTCGGGAAACAGCTACCCGACCCCGTTTTAAAGGGGGTCTACAAGGAATTTTTGACCGAGCCTACGGGCTCGGATACCCTACATTAAATTCGGCCTTGTGCTATATCTGACCGCGTGTGGCGGTTGGTAGATGTCCTGCAGTTGGAGATTTATTGTGGAATTCACTTGACTCGCTTTTAGCAGTTGATTACTTCTTCTACGCGCCGCTGGCGAATCTTATATGTGTTGTTCTTGTCGTAAGTATTATCGTTCATTACCAACCTTCGCGTGACTATTCTATTCAGTAACCTTTTCTAGGTTACAGCAGAAGGTAAAATGGTAAAGAAAGAAAATAATATAGAAAGTTTAAAAGAATCAAAGAACAAATGTGATCAAAAGAAAGAAACAAACAGAAAGAAAGAATGACGGTCAGATAAAGAAATAGTACCTTCATTTCTTTCTTTTTTAAAGAAAGAAAGAAAAATATAAAATAAAAAATAAAGTAAAACAGAAAAAAGAAAAGGAAGAAAAAGAAATAAAAAAGAAAGAAATTGGAAAGAAAACAAAAGAGAAAATTGAAAAAAGTGGAAAAGAAAGAAACAAACAGACAATGATGGGATCAGAAGATATTAAAAAAAAAAAGAACAATGAAAGAAAGAAAGAAAGAAAGAAAGAACGACGTTCAGAAGAAAGAAAGATTACCTTTAAGAAAGATGGAAAAAAAGAGAGATAGAAAAATGGAACAGGGAGAATAACAGAAAGAAAGAACTGTTAAAGAAAATTGGCCAAAATCGAAACACGAGCGAAGAAAATGTAAACAACAACTGAAAACAGATGAGCGGGAAAATGAGGCGGAAATTTAGGAAGAGCTTCCAAGTCCGTCATGAATTGAGAAAACCAAACGAATTAGATTTGTCGGCGCAATAAAGTTAATTGCTCGGCTCGCCTTTCTCTTGCCGATCGACTTTCTCGCATCATCGTCTTCCTCGTCTGCCCATTATGCGTAAAAGCCTTCACAACCCCTGGACTACGTTTACGGATTACGCAGCCTTAAGCCACAGGCGAGAACGGCATCCCTGGATAATTACCACAACTTCGGACCTTTTTATTTTTCCTTTCATTCTGTTAGTTATTTTTTTTAACCTTCCTCCCCAACGAGCTGCATCGGCACGTTGCGGTATTACCGGGGCGTGACCAGAGTTCTGAGCGCTCGTACCCCTTGGGGAGGAAATCGAGCGAGTGAAGGGAGGGATGTCAGGTTGGACAAGAGCGTGTAGGTTGCAACGTTGCAAGGCATCCATGACACAACTTTGGCCCGAGCCAATTATTACAATAGCGCTGAGCCGAAAAACCTCGGCTATTATTCGCAAGATCGAGTGTCACTTGTAAATTATGAAACGGAGAAAGAAATAGTTGCGTTTCGATTTTCACAGATTCCCGTTTAATGTTTTGTGTGAATAATTGTCGTTTAGACCCCCGTCTGCCATCAATAGTCAACATGAACGGTTCTTCACTCGTTATCACTGGCTTACATCCCTCTTTCTTTCTTTCTTTCTTTCTTTCTTTCTTTCTTTCTTTCTTTCTTTCTTTCTCGCCCTCACTTTATGTGTGCTTGTATCTGTCACTCTCACATATATTTCTTTTTTTCTGCTTCCAAATCTCTTGTAAGGTTTTTTCATTTGTTTTCTTTTTCTCTCCTTTGTCTTGCTTACTTATTTCTTTTTTCCGTGATTTCTTACAATTTTTTAAAATTTTCATTTTTCTTTCTTTCTTGCTTCTTTACTATTTTCTGTTCCTTTCTTTCTTTCTTTCTTTCTTTCTTTCTTTCTTTCTTTCTTAGCCTCCTTCTCCATATATGCTTGTTTCTTTAAGCTCCTACATTTCTGTCTTTCTTTCTTTCTTTCTTAGCCTCCTTCTCCATATATGCTTGTTTCTTTAAGCTCCTACATTTCTTTCTTTCTTTCTTTCTTTCTTTCTTTCTTTCTTTCTTTCTTTCTTTCTTTCTTTCTTTCTTTCTTAGCCTCCTTCTCCATATATGCTTGTTTCTTTAAACTCCTACATTTCTTTCTTTCTTTCTTTCTTTCTTTCTTTCTTTCTTTCTTTCTTTCTTTCTTTCTTTCTTTCTTTCTTTCTTAGCCTCCTTCTCCATATATGCTTGTTTCTTTAAGCTCCTACATTTCTTTCTTTCTTTTTTTCTTTCTTTCTTTCTTTCTTTCTTTCTTTCTTTCTTTCTTTCTTTCTTTTCCCAATCTAAACATCCTTTTCTATTTTCCTGCCTTTTTTTTACTAGTTTTTGCATCTTTCTTTCTTTTTTCCTTTCTTTCTTTTTCAGTCTATATAGTTTTCCTTTTTCTAGTCTTTACATTTTTATTGCTTCTTCTTTTTTAACTCATCTCCGTTTTTCTTTTTTTCTTTCTTTTCTTTCTTTCTTTCTTTCTTTCTTTGATCCATTTATTCTTCCATTAGTTCTTTATTTATTTTTCCTCTTATGACTAACTCTTTCTTCTTTCTTTTTCATTTCATTTTCTTTCCTTCCTGTTTCGCTCCTTCACTTTCGTTTTTTGCAATAATTTCTCACTGTATTTTAATTTTTTATCTTTCTTTTTTTCTTTACTTTTTTTTTTACTTCAATTCATTTACCACATCATTTGTTTTTTTATTTATTCTCTTTCTTTCGATACTTTTTTTTTTCTCTTTCTGATGTTTTTTTACTTTTTTATAAACTTTCATCCCCGTGGCTTTTTGCTTTTCTGTCATTCGTTTTTCTTGGTATTGATCACCACTTCCTTCTTTTTTCTTTGTTCTTTTCAATCTTTCTCTCTCTTTCTCTCCCCCCCCTCTCTCTCTCTCTCTCTCTCTCTCTCTCCTCACTCCCTCGATGCTTTCTTTATCTTTCAATCGTTTCGCTGTAATCCCCACTTCCCGCAAAAAAAAAAAAAAAAAAGACTCTGAAAACGCGTCGTCACGACCAAATATATATCTATTCCCTAAGACAACACCGGGCACATCCCGTCGATGATCTGAGATGCATGCAGGTCACGTCGAGTGCGACTCACAGTTTCACAGTTATCGGCCTTTGGGGAGCTCTTCGACGTGTAAGTGTGTAATAAGTTCGCAATACGGCCCGTGTGCAAAGCCGGGCCTCCACCTTGGCGTAAAAGCCATAAACCTTATTGCAGATAGCGTTGCTACAAGGATCCGATTACAAGGAAATTGGTACTAACACGACTGCTTGGAATTCGGAAATAACCTTTCGTTTCGCTCTTTCTCTCTTTCTTTTGCCATTATATTTTTTTAATACCCACACATACGCAATATATGTGGATGGTTGCAGATGGGTGCAAATGGTGTAAAGGTTATTGTCGAGGAAAGAGAAATCGGCGAGCAGATTTCGAATTCCGATCGAGTTCGTTAAGTTTACCTTCGCATAATTAACTTTGGGAAAAGTATGGATCCATTTCTTCTCCTTGCTATGGGATAAATAGCAGGGTAGGCTACGTTTTCTTGCCTTGGTTGGCAACCAGTGTAAATGAAAGAAAATGCTAAATTCAAACATAAGGAGAGCTGTTTTGAGATTTCATAGCACACTGTTATCAACTGTGGAGAAACCTGTGGATAACTCTATACAAATCATGTTTGGACAGTCTGGCGGTTCAGTTCTAAAAACACTGAACTATTAAGCATGAAAGATCGATGGCAAACTCCAATATATATATATATATACTAGCATTAGAGCCCGGCGTTGCCCGGGGATGTAACAGTAAGAAATAGATCAAGTATCGACCATCATAAAGACTGAAAAATAAAATTGACAAAGATTATTGTTTAAGGTCGACGGACACGCATGTCTCAATTAGTTTTTTTTTTTTTTTTTTTTTTTTGAATTGGTCAAACCCAAACTCAAACAAAAACATTGTTTTCAGTCTCTACCGTTTGAATAGAATTTTATTATAAACAATTGTCTTGTAAATGGAATTTTTAAAGCATTCTGAATGTAAAAATAAAGAAAAAAGAGTGCAAGACAATAAGAAACACTACCTGCCAAAAAAAGTGAAGTTTTGTTGAAATCGGTTGAAAAATGTAGGAAATCCGATCCCATATATAAACGAACACACACACACACACAAACAACCTGGGTTTTATAATAAGTATAACTCGATATGAGTTGTCCCCCTTTCATTCTCGAAACAGCGATGCCTCTTAATCGTGTTTTCAAATTGATTTCGTGCAAAAACAATTGTGTTTTTCCAATTTTTGGCGCTGTCAGAACCACCGCAAGGTAATTTTACGTAGTCCTGTGAAGTTTTATTTGAAATCAGTTGAAAAATGGAAATCGATCCAATATATAAACGCACAGACACACACACACACACACACAACCTAGGTTTTATAATAAGTATGATATATACATTTATGTATATATATATATATATATATATATATATATATATATATATATATATATATATATATATAACATGTTTTCAATGAGACATGTTTCATTGAATAATTTATAGAAGTTTTGTTTACTTATTTTCAACTGGATCCTTTCATATTTACGGGCAAACTTAAGTGTAAAAATGAGAAACAAAACAATGTGTGGACAGATTACACAACGTAAAGAAACTGTAAAGATTATGAACAATACAATCATGCCTAAAGAAAGATAAAAAGACTGCAAAGTTAATTACAGACCGACTTACGACTAGATCCATGACGTTTGTGTGCTTGCCTTCTATACAAGAGATGCACCGAAAGTAATGCCTCGGACTTATTTCTGCGAAAACTAAAGATAGCTCGTAACCTTTCGTATATATTAAACAATACACAAATATTGCTACTTTCCCGCGACTTCATGTGGACGCTCAGTTTGTTATACGGCGGTCTCAAAATCTTCAAGATGTTCAAAGAAGAGTATACTCAATTCTCCCTCTCAATTCTCCTTCAATCGCCTTCCTAATCCCTCTCTCTCTCTCTCTATATATATATATATATATATATATATGTGTGTGTGTGTGTGTGTGTGCGTGTGTATATGTGTATGTGTGTGTGTGTGTGTGTGTGCTTGTATGTATGTATGTGGCTATGGGTGTGTTATAATTATATTTTAAAAAATATGTTTCCACCGCGACACAGAAATTTCTTTTTTCAAAACTGAAACTTCAATTCAAATTTAATTATAAAAATTAAACTTAAAATCCAGAGTTTTAAGTTTAATTTTTATAATTAAATTTAGAATTGAAGCTTTAGTTTTGAAACATAGAAATTTCTGTGTCGCGGTGAAAACATATTTAAAAAAAAAATAATTATAATAATATGCTCTACAGTTGTATCGAGCACTGTTTTTTTTTAAATAAAAATAAATGCTAAGAATTCTGCATTATAAATCTCACTGTTCTTTCCTATATATATATATATATATATATATATATAATTTCTACATATATTATTAATATATTATTTATGCGCTGTACTTATTGGAAAGCGCTCAATATCAATGATAGAGCTAATATACTTAGTTGTATATATATATATATATATATATATATATATATATATATATATATATATATATATATACAACTAAGTATTATATTAGTTTTAATTTATATGTTTCGATCCTAGCTCGAGGCAACCGGATGTCTAGCCACACTGATGAGCTGTGAAACAGCGAAACAGTCTGTCTGTGGATGACGTTATATTGGCTCCTGAAATATCTATTTCATTTGAGCTCTGTGGGGACGAGGTGTGGGTTGGTAAACAGTGACTATTATAGCTATATAGCGAGACTCTTCGCAGATGCGAATTGAGTCACTGTCGGTCACTGGGCGTGTTTCTAAAAATAAATACGCTAAAAAATCCACTTTCATCCCTACCGTGCTTAATGGTTAGAATCTCCGACTAACACCAAATCAGTCGGGTTTCGATCCTTGCTAGAGGCAACCGGATGTCTAGCCACACTGATGAGCTGCGAAACAGTCTGTCTGTGGATGACGTTATATATATATATATATATATATATATACATGTAACTAAGTATATTAGCTCTATTCATATATTTTCTGTAGTTTACTGCTACCAGAAAGCAGAAATATTTATTCTCCTGATGATGGCCATTTTGGTCGAAACTAGTCGAGGAATCTAAATGAAATAATAATAAAAAAAAAAAAACGAAAGAATATTAATCTACAACCCAGTGTGTCTAAAGATTTTAATTTTTTAATATTTTTTTATTGTTTAAAAATATATATATATATATATATATATATATATATATATATTCCTATCAATCTCTTTCTACATATTTCGTTTTTTCTTTCCCCCACCTACGTTTCTCAGGTTCTTCCCAATTATCTTTTTCAGCCAATATACGAGGTCTATCCGGAAAAGGATCTAATCAGTTAATATTCATTAAAAAAGCGCCTTAGTCCTCTTCAAAATACTCCTCTTCTCCACTTTTCAAAACACTCTGCAAAGTCTTCTTTCGGGATCACCATCATCTGCCTCATAGCGTTCTTGTTAATCTCATCCACAATCTGAAACCTCTTCCCTGTCAACGGCGATTTTGACTTTAAGAAAAGCCGGAAGATATAGGAAGCAAACTCTAGACAATACACAGAATGACAAACCCACACATTATGAAGATATGTAGGAAAGATAACGGTTGCGCCTAGACTTGAAGAGCTTAAGATTGTAGCGATAGGGAAAGCATCCTCTTGGGAGTCTGCTTCACAAAGTAGAGGTTCTTGAAAAAGAATATGCCCGAATCAAAATCCCTTCTTATTAATGGAATACTAATGGGAGGATTTACTGATACAAGTTCTACTAATTAACCCATAGTTGGGGAGAAGAAGAGGTGGACCCATACCTTTCCCAAGGGTATTTTGAAACTTGGCTCTCCGATGAACAATTCCGAGCCTGTTATCCATCACATCCTCCACGCATATTCAAGCTTAGAGCACCTGGTATTCTCGAACAGCCACCTATCAGGATATTGTCCAGGCTCGACGTTGCTTAACATCGGTGATCGTACGAGAATTGGGATTTCAACGTATTGTGGCCGTGTGTGTGTGAGAGAGAGAGCGAGAGGAGTTGAGGGGGATGAGACAAAAAGAGAGAGAGAGACATAGAAAAAGGGAAAAAGAGAGAGAGGGATTAAGATAAAATGAGTGTGAGGTGTGACAGAGAGAATCTGGGAAATCCACACACACACACACACGTATATTTTTTTTTAGTGAAATTGGAGTAGATTTGAATAGCGAAATTAAATCAGAGCATTTTGTTAACTGAGTGGAAAATCTGATCTAGGGCAGAAGTTGTACCTATTGAATCTGGGTCATCAGAAGACAATGGAAATGGTCGAAATAATTTTTATCGATTAAAAATTGAAATAGAGCTGAATAAGCTAGAAGGAACTTAGGAATTCACATGATTTTGGTTGAAGCAGCCAGAACCCCGTGATAATCGCGTGCGAAGTAGTAGGGCCGAGAGT